TCTGTAACCTGTTGGTTGTCCAAAAGAAGATATCTCATCAAGGGCATTGACAATAGTATCTTGAAGATCATCCAGTAGATTGCCTAGTTCTCTCACTTCAGAACATAAAAAAGCACACAACATATCAAATGTTAAAGCCTTTTTCAATCGGTTCTGCAGATATCTTATCACCCCCAACAGAAATTAATCCAATATCATTTGAAAAATAAAAGCATAAATAAATTCAACGGACCTAGAAGAATAGAATGGCAATAAGGCTGGACGGAATCTTACGAGTGGATCGGCCTCTTTTTCCTACGACTGATATTGGGAACTCAGTAGGATTAGATCTAGGTCGTGTTGAAATTAAATCATTCACAGCAATTAAATCGAGTCAATAGATTTACAACATGTTTTTTACCCAATTAATCGAATATTACCTTCCAATTTTGGGGTGATGGCGACGACTTATCCTAGTAGAAATCACTGCAACACAAATACAAATTGTGCAAAGATCATTTTTTAGTAAAGATGTTTGCGCAACAATACGAAGGACAAAAACACGGAGATGGAGGTGGTGGTGTCACCGGAAAGGTGGTGCCGGTGGTGTCGGGGCTGTGTGGTGGTGTCGGGGATAGAGAGAGGGGAGAGAAAATGAGATGAAGTAATTATGGTGGGTTTGGGTAATTATAATATGTAATTATAATATATATAATTATAATGTATCTAATTAAAAAATATCTGATTTTTGAAAATTAAAACTTCAAATTTGATTTTAGAATCTAGATCTTGAAAAGTAGGGAATTGTGCAATTTTCACTTAATTTTATCAAATTTTTTTTTTTACATTTAAACTTCTCAATACATTTGACAATCATATTTTTAAAAAGAAAGAAATATAAAGTACGACAATTTTTATTTTTTTTGGGTTTCAAAGCATTCAAACAGAAAAATATTTGATAAAAATCATTGTCAATGACAAAATGTGTAAGTTAATAAAAACAACCATGCTACATGCGCAATTATGATTGACAATTTTTGTTAACAATGATGAATTTACAAAATTTATACCATCCATTTTAAAAAATGTATTTAAAAACAATCACGCAGATATTGACAGCGCATGAATTGTCAATCAAAGTTGTCAACAATCATTGTACAAATAGTTTTATTCTAATAAAAATATGAAAGTAAGAATTAACGAAAGTTAGAGGCTTAACTACTGCGATGAATAAGAGTTAAAGATCTTAAGGTAATTAAAATATAGTGCAATAATAATAATAATAATATAACCTGTGATATCTAAGGAGAATAATTATCAATCAATTAAATTTTATAGTCGAGCTGTGTCCAATCCACTCTCTGAAACATGTTGAAATATTTTTATAACTTTATAAACTTTAGTCGTTACATTAGAAAAAAAAATCTCATTTTTCAAAATGTCACCCCGACCATAAGGATCGTTTATAAATACTAATTTTGTTATATGGGTGGTTAATTTATTTCGTGGATATTTTTAGTTGTTTTTTTCTTGGTAAAAACAGTAGAGAAGCTGGGATAATTATAATAGAAATTGAAATTTACTGGTTGTGAAAAAAAAAGAGATTATTCCCAATTTAAACAAGATGAATTATACTTAAGACATTGGATAACAATCCGTATAATATGAGCATTTTTCAGTTACAAATGAGAGTACATTATCCCAAGATTATCTCAAAATTTCAAATTCAAAATTGAAATAATCCTACATTGTCAACAACGGGAAGTTGCAGTTGATCAAGTATTTGAATTTTCCTGCCGGCAATTTAGAAATACTTCCAGCCTTTACTTGAGGTAGTCGCAATCTTGGAATTGGAAAGTAAGATAAGAAAAATACATTAGTATCTTCGTGAAGCATTATATATTGAAAGAGTTAATATACCACTATTAAATAACATTAATAAACAATATTTAGCTTAACAAAATAACCCAATGCAAGTATCACTTTCCAACAACATTTGTAAATGTTGGAGTGCAACAAGATTGCTCTTAAGTTGACGTGTTGGATCACTCAAAGATGATAATCGAATGTCATAAAGGTTTAGCATGTTTTCACTAGGCAATTAGTATCCGAGTTCGAGTCATGTATTTAATTCACATGAATGTCATATCAAGAGAGTGATTGCTGGAGTGCAACAAAATTGTGTTCTTGAGCACGTTGATTGAGTCACTTAAGCTATGGTGATCGCGTGTCATAGAAAGTTCAGTCTGCATCCACTATTGATTTTTAAATGAGATGACTGAAACTCGATACTACTTGTGGTATCAAGACGGGTTCACTTTTTATAAGTGAGATTTGTTGGTCTAGGGAATAGAGTTAATATAAGTTGTGGATAAACCTACTTGTGTATGTTCTCTATTCACCTTAGTAAGACACCACCTAATGATACTGATAGTGGACAAGTCTCAAATCTATTGATCGGAACACGGGTTGTTTGAATATAAGTGATTTAAGTACATGTAAATCAGTGTGACTGGAATTCTATTTGTGTCAGTGTCATATTTGATGCCTTTGATGCTAACCATTCACTTCTGATTCTATTGCAAGGATACAAAAAAATGCTTGAACAATCATAAAAAATGTCCATGAAGGAAACAAAAGTGTCGAGTGCACAAAATTAAAAATCTCAACCATGGAACTTGCAAATAAAAAAATGACTGGAAAGGAGAAAGCCATGAATCCTAGTTGGAGTGACGATGAAGATGATATGGAGGAAGAATCGTTGGATGAAGAAAATACTCTCGACAGTATGTTTCGATATTGCAGATCGAACAAAACATTGAACTGCCTTGTAAATCCAAAAAACAGCACAGTTATTAACTCAACATCTGTCAATAAGATCGAGAAACATGTTTCCTTAGTGACCGTCGAATCTTCTAACACATATAATCGGGACGTTCTCTACCTCTTTAACACAACCCGGACACCCACTCTAACTTTCAGAATTATACTTGCACCAGTATATATGTACCCTTTTGAATCAAAAGTGTTCAAAGAGATTAAATTTCTGTTTATATCTGGAATATATTGAACCTAACTAAGTGTTTTGACCGTCCCATCAAATA